GTTTCGCGCCAATCGTTTGAGAGGTAGTTTACTTGGAATGTCGGAAGACAAAAACACAGTCCGCGAGTACATTTTGATTGATCACCGGTTTGGGCGACATGCAAAGTGCCCAATTACCCGCATATGACCCACTTTAAGAAAATGCGATTTCCGAAAGATGGCACGTGATTCAACCTCTAAACACAACCTTGCCACTGACTTTCATTTTTTGCCTTTTTCACAGAAGTTAACCAGCCGTATTGTCGTGGTCCATTCTCAGTTAACTACCAAAATCCTGTTTCGAACATGTCACAAATCGCACTTTCTAGGATTGAAAGCGACTAGCCGTTGCCGTGGCCAATTAGCGTTTGGTAATTCGTCTTCCACAATCTGTTCTGTTCTCGAAGAGTTGTCCATTCGCTGTTTACATCAAATCCATGAGAACAGGTTGGCGCCATTAAAGTCGCTGAGAAATCGGCTCCTTCTCTTCGTGTCGGATCTCATCGATGATCGCAGTCATTCGTCGCCATCCAGCTGTCCACTGAACCTCACAGTCATCGCCTGAGGTAGCCGACGGTAGGCACTTCCTCATCGACCAGCGAACATGTCTCACCGAAACAAGTTCGAGGACGTGGAGTTGATCAAATCAGACAGCTGCCGCTTTGAGCAGGTGGTACGGCTGGAAGAAAAGCGAGGAAGCTGGGCGTCCAAGGTCGACTACATCCTGTCTATGATCGGCTACTCCGTCGGATTGTCGAACATCTGGCGATTTCCGTACCTGTGCTACCAAAATGGTGGAGGTAAACGACTTCAGCGCTTCTTTGCCTTTAACGCTGTTGATGAGTGACGTATGATGTGCAGCTTTTACGTTAGGAACCTTACCAAACACGATTAATGTATCAAATCTCATATGTACCTCCAATTTTATCTGTTAATCCTCTCTACCTCTACTCTGACCAAACACGCTGACAGTTGGAACCAATCGCATCACGTCTTTCGCGGAGTGGTAACCTCTTCTTTCTTTCAGAGGTTTTAGCGAGTGCTTGCTGGACAGTCGGTTTTGGGTGTCTACCATCGTGAGCTATTGCCGAATTTGTATCGACCTTCGTTCTTCCCAAGAGAGTCGAGCACTTTGTGACCTTTCACTCACGGACCGATATCATTGACGAATGGCGACTAAATCCCCATCTACTTGAGTGGATTTCTGCCCTATTTGAATGCTCTCACTTCATTAGGAGTGCGTGACGTCAGCACTGCCATCATTTTATTAGTTTTTTTCATATTTCAAACTTGGTGAAAGTGTCTATGAAAATATAGTTTGAAGTAATTTTGCTTGGAGCGCATTAGCAAAGCCGCATTTTCCTTTGGCCCCGAATGCACGGCCACTATATTGCAGAAAACGTTTTCGCCACTGTTCCATGGGACGCGAATCCGAATCCTTATGCGAAAGGGCAAGCCGTTTTGCTGATCCATCGACTAGAACAAAAAAAGATTTTATCGTGACAACTAGCATGCTGTGTCCCACTCTAAAACTAGGTTCCAGATGGATTAGCATAACTTATTTTCAGAGAGGAAGGAACGGAAAGTTTTTAACCCTTAGGATGACGACCGCCCTTAAAAATTTCATTACTGTTAACTTTTTTGTAGATTGTTTCTATTCATAAACTCGGTGATGAGGTACAAATCTTCATTTCCACGCCTTCAGTCTAGAATGCCTTATTTCAAAGCCAGAGTCAACAGCTATGTTTCAAGCATGAGGGGTAGTACTCTGTTTCCTTTACACAGAGTGGCACTCATTTATCTATCTCAGTCGAAAGAGATCGAGCGACCGATCCGGGCCTAGATTTGGTGAACAGCTGCTGCTAAGCTTTTATCTAGGCATCGCTTTTCTTTGACAGTTAGATTGGTGATGGCAGCTGCTGTCTTGTGTCCTGCCATCCTTTTCCGTAATCGTCTGAGAGAATGACCAACGTAAGACACCTAGCATTCCGATCCATTTATGGAATACGCTACACCAGTCGTTTCATCGGCTGCTTTGAGGACGGTTCCCATATTTTCATTTTCGAGCACGGTCTCATCGGTTCTTAAATGATGACAACATGAGGAATGCAAGTGATTGCAAAAAGAACAACTCTGATTGGATCTTGAAAATCTTGTGTTTGTTGCTGATAATGAATGGCAACGTTGTCCAAGGACTTGGTCCTGCACCGAGAAATTTTTCAACCTGTGTCTTACAAAGATATACATTAATAAGTCCAAATCCGTAATAATGTACCCATTTCAAAATTCATTCATCCTGCTCACTGCCAGGCATCCAGTGAACTATGAGAAACAAGAAAGGAACTTATGAAACAGGCTTTGGATAGCTTGACTTGGTCGTTTTCTTTCTTTAACTTAATCTCCTTGCTAACCAAATGCCTCTTGCATAGTTTTACCGCCTTGTTTTAGGAATGCAACATTGTCGTGTTTCCTCGGAGATAAACATATAATAATTGCATTTAACTGAGCCAAAATAATACTGTTGTTGTCTTGTCAACCTCATCTGAGGCTAATAGAGCTTAAGCAGCAGAGTAACCCAGATTTATTAAATCTGACAATTAAAACTGGTACTTTAGAATGACATTAGGCAAGTACCACATTCCTGTCTACAAGAAGGACTGTTTCGACGAGGTTTATCTACGTTCTGGCTTGTCTTCCAATGCTCCCGTGACCTGTGTACTATACTCCAAAGGAAAACTTTTGAATACACTTGCATTCCTTTTCCTGGCCGTTATATGAAACCAGGTCAAGGGTAGATCTCTGAGTTCATCTAATAATTGCCTCAGACCGGTTGCCGTAAACACCTGCTCGTTCGTGAGCCGGCAGAACTGTCGGACTTTGAGGATACTTCGTAGACAGCTTTGTTGGAAGCTATCTAAACTAGCCTCGTGACGCATCAGAACGTCCTGCGTTTCGAGAATGTTTCTGAGCATCGCGAATACAATAATGCCCTCACATTGGTGACCTACGTGTCTTCTCTTGCTGTTCACTTCTATTATATGCCATACAGCTGGCCAAAATTCGTTGATACGCCGACTTACTTCGAAAGCAATATCGCCATCGTTTCTCAACACCATTTAGAGGTATTTGAAATGGTCCACCAATTCATGTACAACACCATCCTACTGTATCTTCGACCTGACGGTCGCAGCGGCACCCTTGTGATCTTCATCTTATCGGCTTGCAGCTCCAGTTCCAGAGCAGAGTTGTACCTGCTTTTCGTGAAAGTCAGTAAGCAATTTGTGGAGTTTATCCTCTAGGAATACAGCCCGATATCTGGAGCTGCATCGATGACTTACAGTTAGTCGCTCATTGTAACTTGGTACAATACCCTTCCACACAACAGAGTCCGCCATAGTGTTAAACAACAGAATAAAGAGTAACTTATCTTGAGGATCTTTCCTGGTGGCAGTGCAGTGAACCGATCCGACAGTGGTCCTTCAGTTCTTACGACGCATTTCGCCCTTCGTATTGATCTTCAATCAGGTTTACCATAACCTGTGTGATCCGGTATTACCGAATACCACCCCACATTGCCTGAAGATCAAATTAGTTGAAGGCTGCACGGAAGTGGAAAAAAGTCGCGGGCAATTGCAGCTGAAGGCTCCCGCACTGCCCCCATCATTTTTTTTTCAGCACGATGTTTGTCAGTGCACGA